TCATGCGGCCAGAGCACTGAGAGCATCCAGAGCTTACTGGGAGACAACTGGGAGACAAGTGGGAGACAAATGGGAGACAAGTATAAAATCATGCGGCCAGAGCACTGAGAGCATCCAGAGCTTACTGGGAGACAAGTGGGAAACAAATGGGAGACAAGTATAAAATCATGCGGCCAGCGCACTCAGAGCATCCAGAGCTTACTGAGAGACAAGTGGGAGACAAATGGGAGACAAATGGAAGACAAGTATGAAATCATGCGGCCAGACCGCTGAGAGCATCCAGAGCTTACTGGGAGACAAATGGGAGACAAGTGTGAAATCATGCGGCCAGACCACTCAGAGCATCCAGAGCTTACTGGGAGACAAGTGGGAAACAAATGGGACACAAGTATAAAATCATGCGGCCAGAGCACTCAGAGCATCCAGAGCTTACTGGGAGACAAGTGGGAGACAAGTGTGAAATCATGCGGCCAGAGCACTGAGAGCATCCAGAGCTTACTGGGAGACAAGTGGGAGACAAGTGTGAAATCATGCGGCCAGAGCACTAGAGCATCCAGAGCTTACTGGGAGACAAATGGGAGACAAATGGGAGACAAGCGTGAAATCATGCGGCCAGAGCACTGAGAGCATCCAGAGCTTACTGGTAGACAAGTGGGAGACAAATGGGAGACAAGTATAAAATCATGCGGCCAGAGCACTGAGAGCATCCAGAGCTGACTGGGAGACAAGTGGGAGACAAGTGGGAGACAAATGGGAGACAAGTATAAAATCATGCGGCCAGCGCACTCAGAGCATCCAGAGCTTACTGGGAGACAAGTGGGAGACAAATGGGACAAAAGTATGAAATCATGCGGCCAGAGCACTCAGAGCATCCAGAGCTTACTGGGAGACAAGTGTGAAATCATGCGGCCAGAGCACTCAGAGCATCCAGAGCTTACTCGGAGACAAGTGGGAGACAAATGGGACAAAAGTATAAAATCATGCGGCCAGAGCACTCAGAGCATCCAGAGCTTACTGGGAGACAAGTGTGAAATCATGCGGCCAGAGCACTCAGAGCATCCAGAGCTTACTCGGAGACAAGTGGGAGACAAATGGGAGACAAGTGTGAAATCATGCGGCCAAGCACTCACAGCATCCAGAGCTTACTGGGAGACAAGTGGGAGACAAGGGTGAAATCATGCGGCCAGGAACACAAGCCCGGAGACAAACTCAAAATCATCCGGCCCGAGCATGCACCCCTTTAAAAGGAGTAAGAACCCCTCACAGGTAAACCTGTTTGGGGAAAAAACACACACGATTGATGGGTCAGGCGCTCCGTTATACCCTCTGGTGCCCTGGGAACCAATCAAAAAGGTAAACAGGATTCTGATTGACCATGGCACTCTTTTCTGGAATGTTTCAGGAATTTTCAGGAGTTTGGGGTCGTGCATGTGTCAGAATAGCAACACGTTGTTTTGGGGGGGGTTGAGGGATTCTTTCTCAGTGAATCTGCATGACTTAATGATTTTCGACTGTAAAGCTACGAGTTTGTGGAGACTTCTAATTACATTGGACCTCCAAACACCTACGGAGCCGTAACGGAGCCATCGTCCTTGCAGACCCATCAATGAATTAGATATCCAATCACTTGGATCATCATGGCTTAGGGCGGAGCATTTCTCTGGGACTGTCAGCGACCCTGAAAAACCACGGAAAAATCACAACGAATCACTCCCTCGGCTCTCCCGAACGGAATTCGCGTACGCGAACGAAGGGGGGTGAGATGAGTCCGCCCAGGTCTGCTGCTCGTGGCGCCCAACGAGACCCGGTCGCCCCGTCGCCCGTGGGCTCCGCCTGGGGGTCTGGGGGACACCCGGCAGCGCTCGTGGCAAACGCGGTCGCGGCGTGGCTTTCCGAGCCGGAAGAGGCCACGGCGGGGGTTCAAAGCTCCGGGGGGGTTGGGGAGGAACAAGTGGTTCAACCCAAGTGCCCAAGAGAGGTTAAGTGCCTTGGAAAGGGACCTAATTGGGGTACTAGACTATATGGGATAGTCTATGGGCTTCTTCAACGTCTCTTGGTGGGTGTGTTTTTGAAGGGGGAAGACACGGTGTGACGCATTTCACCTGTTTGGGTCTAAAAATCGTGAGAAAAAAAGCACGATCTTCCGGAAACAACCGCAGGACACCAGGGAGTCCCACCGCAGGAGGTCCCGTGTGCAGACAACCAACTCCCACACGGTGCGAGGTTGTTAGTCCAACTCCCCCCGCACCTACCGTTTTAGGCGCATGAGGGGTCGATAGAGGTAAGAGGCCTTCGCTCGGTAGAGGACGCACCGCAAGTTGGTGGACATGGATTCCTGGTGGAGCTGTGCTACCGGTGTTGGAGCATCAACCGCTCTTGAGAGGCCTTTTTGGAGGCCACTTTGTGCTCGAAACGTCTCCAATGAAACATCCACCACCATTGCGCTGCCTTTTTGGCAGCTCGTAGTGGTGGGCCACAGCTTCTCCATCGGAAGCTTCACACATACTACACCTATGCGGGCGCGTAAAAACGCGCCGTGCCGCCGTGCCCTGCGTGCCCTGCGCGGAAACTCAATCGTCCAGCACGGGAATGTCCAACGCTCCACGCTTTCCAGGCATGCTCTTCTTGGTGACGCGCATCTCGCCCATGATGTAGACCCAATCCTCAAAGTCCATCCAGAAGGAGCCTGAAGCAGGCGAGACTCAACGGGCGACCAGTTGGGTTGTGCAGATCAGGCGAGGTGTGCGCCTTGCACCCAAAGAGGTGTGGTGTTTGCCAACGGGCTCTGCAAGAAGAGAGAAGGCAAGGTATATGAGAACAGAATTCGTTTGATGTATGCTAAGAGACCAGTAGCACAAAATGTGTCTGTGTGGTTTTCTTTGGCTCTGCACATCTCAAAAAATCTGACAGTGTTTCTGGGTAGGTCACCTTATTTGCAAAAGAAGTGAGAGACCATTGTGAAGGTGACTTGATTTTGGCACGCAAGGTTGCCACATAAAGGTTGCCACATAAAGGTTCCCTGCGTCCTTGATTGATCCTTTCCGGAGGAATGTGTCAGTGCCTGAAATGCTGGGCCACATTCTGTACGGTACGTGTCAATGTTTGATTCTCAATCTTCAATACAACTCTTCTTGACAAGCAAACTCCTTTTTGGTATGTAGGCCCGAATTATGCGCAAACACAAAACTTGTCTTGCTCTTGTTCTGGTTGCTTCTGTGTTTTGTTCTTTTTGAATTTTGCTGAAATACTGGATGCAGTTAGGTGCTATCGTGCAAATTGCAAAAGTGCGGAACTTGGTCAACTTCCAGAATGAACCATTTTTGCATACTTTAACGAGGCAAAAGAAAATAGCGAAGATCGAGCGAGAGAGAGAGAGAGAGACAAAGAGAGGCCTAACATGTTTGATAGCCCCAGGAGTCCCAGCGTCAAACTTTTCGGAATCTGCCGAGTCTCGCGCGTCTGTGTTCTTCTCCCGAGTCGAAAACGCAGTTCCCAACAAAACGAAGAAACAAACCGAACCAGACCCCACCGATCGGTGGATCTGTAACGACGCGAAAACAACCAACTGTCGAGACTGCATGAAGCACTTCAATACATGATGCCATGTCTTTCACATGTTGTTGGAATTGAAAAAACACAAAACGGAGACATGATCATGCACCTTCATATTGTAAATCCACGTTGAGAGCTTCCGCAATCGTTGGATTCGCCATCCATTCATCGCAGCGATCGCTCCAAGGACCATTCCACTCGGTGTTGCCCCAGGGGTTTCGACATCGGACCAGGCGGAGTCCTTCCACTTCGACGACGCTCAAGACGCTGTAGGCATGGCCAGGCACAAGTCCACAGGGCATCTCATCATTGAGGTCAGTCATGTGTGTTCCCATCAAATAGTTGGCTTGATCATAAGCCAAGAGAGTCTTCCAGTACTCTTCCAAGTCCATGTCCACCGTCGAAATCACCTTGAAGGCATCGGAATGCTCCACGTCGTCATCGCGAGGATTGTCGACGATTTGATATTCAATCTTTTGAATCTTCAAAGGTGTGCTTCGCTGCGCCACTCTTTGACCATGTTCGTAATAGAAGAGATAACCCTCATCAGGTCCATCACCCTCCAACTTCTTGAACTTGATCCAGCTGAAGGATCGCTCCACTTCCTCAAAGCGAGCTCCCGACCTCAAACGACCCAGACGGGGGCTACATCGCTCGGCTCGGCCGCGCACCGCGATGCCCTTCTCGGCCGTGACCACCCAGTGCAGCGGCTTCTCACGTGAGGTGCGGAATTGCTCCTGGGATCGAGGTGAAGAGATGCGGGGAGAGTGATGGAAGCAGCAAAAAGCGGCAGAATTATATAGATCCCGAACATTCCCGAACAGTTTCATCGTGTTCATTGGGAGAAAACAAAGGGTTGAAAACGCACACAAGGAAGAAAGGTCCTAATTCCCTGAATGTGAAACTGAAGGCGGAACCGCCGCTGTTCATGTCACAACCCATGAACAGTGGCAGTTCGCAACCCCCAATCGATCCACTCAAAAATGAAGCGCAGCTGCCCCCTTTCGCCCAGCGACGCATTCACAGCAACCCGTGAGGTGAGCCCAGGCTGTGTAACACATACCACTCTTCAAGTTTGCATAAGATCCACACATCTTGGCAAAGGCCTTTTCCACCAAAGCAAAAAGGACCTAACGGAGCTAGGGGCGACTGAAAATCAAGTGGCTAAAAAAAGAGAAGAAGTGAGAATCTCTGAGCTGTTTCTTCAGTCCGAATCTATGAGACCTGACAGGTCATCCTGTCTCCTTTGGTGTACTTCTTTTTGTCGCCAACCAGGTGACGCTCTTGCGTGCGTTTTCACTCTTGCGGTGTGGGAGTCTCTACAGATGATGACGACCGAGCAGGATGATGACGACGACGTCCACGACGACGACGACGACGAAAATGCTGGAAGCAAGTAATTCAATTTTAATTCCAATAGCTTCTTGTCGGCAAGGAGCCCCTAGTAGCTTCCTTGCTCCTGGTAGCGATGCCCTTTGCTCCTAGTAGCGAAGTGTGGCCAGAATGGATGATCATGATATGGATGAATGATTTATCTCCTTGCAGTGTATGAGGGGAGTCCTTGACGGATGTTGAGTTATCAGAAAGACCTATGTAACACCACGGGCTGAACGAAGAAGGGGACCACAAATGAAAACAGCAGTCAAGAAGAAGCTGCACAAGCTGCACAAGCCTCTTTCAGGATCTAGCAATGAATGCGAAGTGAATGACACATTTGTGGAGGATCACAAGTTGACAGTGATGTGTTTCTTTTGGACAAAAAATGATGTCGGAAATCACTGCACATGATGCCGGTGGCCACGGTGCCTCAGGATGGAGCCAGGTGGCTCACTCACGCTCGGAACCAAGCACAGGAGGATGGAGCAAAGCAGCCAATTTCGAGAAGGAAGTTCAAGTGAAAGAAACACAAGCGAATGAAGAAATCCCTCCAAATAGAAAGAAATGAAGAATGAATTCGATGTAGGGCTGAAAAACATCCAAACAATGTCAACTCAACTTCCAAACCAGTCATGAAGTGTCTGGCAAAACATCCAATTGAACCAATCGATCCTGCTCATGCTTTCTGCATATTTAATACTATATATATTCGTCCAAGCCGTCGCCTTGTGGTCCGTAATCGGACAGAAGATGTGATGATAGATCTCTTTGCCGTAGCCAGGCCAGTACATCGGAAGGTAGTCGTCAATCTGGTGCACCTGGCAACCCGCGTCGCGACGAAGCTGAGACGAAGCTGCGGAGACGGAGCGGATGCTGGCCTCGGGACGACCCTGGCATTCACGACGAACGAACGGAGCATTCTGGAAACTCGACCGTTACTAGGTGCATCCTGCTCCAGATCGTTACTAGGGGCATAGCTTTCTTACGACTGCTAGTGACTAAGAAGCTACTAGCATCCCCCTTGATATTAGGGGTGAGGGGTCGGGGTCCCTATTTTTTAGTGAAAATCACTACAAAATGGCAGCGACCAACGTCCCATCCCTACAAAATGACTCCCAAAAATTTGGACTCATTTTGTAGGGAGGGGATAGGCCAACTATGCAAAATGAAGGGGGCCAAGGTCACAAATTGCTACAAAATGGCACGCGGCCTGGAATGGCCTACTCATTCTGTAGCAAAGATAAATGCGCATGAAAATTAGCAAGAAAAGTCAAGAACAATCAAGACATGTCAAGACTGTCTTTTTTGACGCGCTTTTGGACGCCTGTCAAATGGCTGTACTCCCCACAAAGCCAACCCCATGGCTTCTGATGCGATTCTTATTGAATCAGCGAGCGAACAGACTCTACAAAGAAGGCAGAGTTGCTTTGCAAATGTCTGCCAGGAGTCTTAGGAACGGCTGGCGGGACTTGGCATTCTGCAAGTCCTTCCTTGCCTTTTGGAAGAGCGAGTAGACAGATTTGCCATACTCTATCGGCGACTTGGTCTTCCAAAAGAAAGTCTCCATGAAAGCTGGACTGCGATTGATGATCTCTTTGGCGGTGATGCCTTTCCCTTCTGGCAAATTCTTCATCTTCAATTCTCCTGTAGATTCATCCCAGACTGGATTCTGCGGCGAGTGTGAGGTCCAGAAGGATAAGCGCTTCCATCTGTTGGCGAATCAATTTGCGGCCTAGTTGATTCTTGCGGAAGTTCTCTGGAATCGCGTCTTTTCCGGAATCTGCGGCTTTGACCAAAGCCAGATGGGCACTGGCTTCAGGGTCTGCTGCCAGGCCCGCAGCTGTCTTCTTTGCCAGATCAACGGTTTTCTTTTTCTTGGCAAGTGACTTGGCAAAGTGTCCAACCTTCTTCTTTCCGTTTTTCTTGCCTTTTGCTTCAGCGGCGCATCCTGCATCAAGCTTTTTCTCTGAAGAGATGACCACAGCAGGAACCTCCCAGGTTTCCAAGGACTCAGCTCGCTTGATTGCCATCTCAGACTCCTTGGACAAAGATAGTTCCCAGGGAGATTCGAGCGTGACACTGGAATGCTCGCAGTTCAGCAGAGTTACGATTGACTCCACTGGAACAACATCAGCACGGCTCAAAGCATCACATACCCAGATATCGTCCTTGGCTAAATTTTTTCAAAACACTACAAAAAAACACTCAAAAAAACTAAGATTCCCCAAGAATATCAACGTAGAAAGAACGACACATCATGAAACGTCCAAAAAAGTTGAATGATTCGGGGTAAGGATCCTTCTTTGCAAGCTTCACCACACGCGCAGCAAAGCAATTTTTGAGCGGGACATCTGGCGAAGTAAGCTTCGGTTGCTTCACTCCCCGCCAGAGCGAAAGCACAAGGCCGACCGCCAACTTTGTCACTTTGCCGGGCAGGTGGTACAGAACCACATTGCCACACCTGTCAGTGGTTAGAGAACAAAATGAAAACTGATTGAAACCTTTGGATCTATTATTTGGATATTTCCATTTTATGAATGTTTATGAAAACGTTGATGCTTTTTTGAAAAAGCACTACAGCCTGCCACTACAAAATGCCATAGACAGGCCCCAAGCCTCCCACACCACCATT